ACACCTATTTTAAGGTGGAAAGATGGTTTAAGTGTAGATGTAAGAGAAATGCCAAAAAAAAATAATAATAATAATTAAGATGGAATAGGTTTGTATATGTGTAAGACAGAAGAGAATTATTCCTTTTCAGTGAAATTTGAGGAGGAAAAATCTTTAAAGATTTTTAGGTGCTGGAATGCAATAAATCTTTTAAAAATAAACCATAATATTGTTTTAAAGGAAGGTCTAGCAAATGACCCTAGTGAAACAGAGAAAAACTTTTGTACTTTCATTAGAGTCTCAGGAGACTATAAGGAATGTGGGGTGGGACCAGTTGGTTTGGCTCTGCATATTTGTGGACGTGGATGGGTGTGTGGAAGTGTGTAGTATGGAGATGTGTGTAGATATGTGTGGATGTGAGTCATGATGAACGTGTGTGGCTAGTGGATGTGTATAGTATTTGGATGTGTGTGGGTGTGTGGAATTATGCAATGTGTGGATGTGTGTGAATATGTAGTGTGTGTAGTGAATGAACGTGGGGGGCTGTAGTGTGTAGTTGTGGGTGGGTGGATATATGTGGTGTGTGTAGTGAGTATGTGTGTGGGTGGATGTGTGGTGTGTGTAGTTTGTGGGTTGTGTGATGTGTGGTGTGTGTGTGTGGAAGGTGGAAGGTCGTGTCAGAGGGAGGCAGGGGTTGGGCCAGTTGTGTGTTCAGTGGAATGCCCACACACACACAAATGCCTTTATGCAAACACCCCGGGGCAAATTTGCCTTCTAATGGGTGAAAGACATTATTGTTTTGTTTTTTTAGAGTTTATGTTGCCTTAACTGATTTTCTGAGTTTAATTCAATATAAAATATTAGGACGTGAGGGGCCGTTATCAGATTTCTTTACATTGTAATACAAAACAATCCCTCCTGTTTGTTTATTCAGTGGCTGTGCTGATGGAAATAAAAGCGAGGAAAAGCGTGTGGAACTACTGCCATCTGGTGGAGAACATGGAAATTGCCATGTGGTGCGGGGAGAATGCCCTTAAAATGGGATATTGTTGATATTGAATGGTTTTTGTTTTGATTTGACTTGATTTATTTTGCTGTCGTTTTTGTTGCCGTTTGGTCCACTAGCCCTTCACCTCCTCCCAAAAGCCTAACTTATTAACTTCATATCCCCCTAACTGTTGAGACCCCGGTGGAATGAAGCTTAAGCATCTGGACTCTGGTTTTAGATTCCCCGGGTTCCAGTGATGACTTCATTACCTGCAGATCATATTGCCTGCAGCAAGTCATTGACTCTCCTCTTTCTTCAGGGTCCAAGGAATGGGGTATTTAATTCTGTGCTGGCAGAGTAAGCACCAGACTTCATCCTTATCACCCATGTGATTTTATTCCAGCTTGCTCCAGCCAGAGGCTTATCTATACAACATCCAGGAGAACAGCTACACGACCTTGCTACAGGAAGATTGGACTTCCCCCAAAGACGCAGGCCAAGCAGGGCAGCTCTGCAGCACTACACTATCGGGCACTGCCCTCTCCTATCGGTACAAACATCATCCTGCATGAAACAATCAGTCAAGTTATGTCACTTCACTGCCACACGTGTTCCTGTTTGTGTTCCTGTTGATTCCATGCCAGATGATACATAACTCCTTAAAGGCACAGACTCTGCCTACCCTGCCCCCCAGCAGCCAATTCATGATATAAACCTTGCTGGACTATTATTTCAAAGTAGCAGACATTTTTCTCAATCTAGAGAATAATTTGAAAGTGTATGGCTTTCAGAACTCCAAACCATCCAGAGGATGAAGCCAGAGGAATCAAACTCAAAAGTAATGACTGAACTCAAACCAACTGGATTCAGAAATGAAGAGTCCAAGAAAAGCAGAACATCCAACCTGTCACCTACCTGTCCTCTGGGCCATGACCCAGATGCTGTAGACTTGGGGACAAAGAAACAGGAAGGACTGAGTAATCACTTAAAAGCCATTTGTCTTTCAGTTTCTAAGAAGAAGCTGATAAGTACCTTTCCATGACGGAAAAAGTGTATTTTTTCCATCTTTGTTTTACTATTGGAAATTTTAAATAAGGATGTACATCAGAAAAAGATGTTTCAAAAGTTTCCCTGAATTTTTTATGCAGGATGTTTTCTTTCTCTCTCTCTCTCTCTCTCTCTCTCTCTCTCTCTCTCTCTCTGTGTGTGTGTGTGTGTGTGTGTGTTACTAGGGATTGAACCCAGGGATACTCCACCACTGAGCTATACCCCAGCCCCCCCCCTTATTTTTTATTTTGAGACAGGGTCTCACTAAGTTGCCCAGTCAGGCCTTGAACTTGAGATCCTCCTGCCTCAGCCTCCTGAGTAGCTGAGATTACAGGTGTGTGCCACCTCTCCAGACAGCACGTATTCTTTAATGTTCAACTCTTTATGACCAACCTCTCTAAGAGAGAAGAGAATAGGCAGGATAGACATCTAAAATGAGACGTAAACTATTTCTACCAGTCCTTTCACAGAAACTACTAACCATGAACCAAACTGGCTGGTCCTACTAAGTCCTCTTCCTCCTCTTATTCCTTCATAAAATTCTAAGCATATAAAGAAATGACTACTAGCATGAGCAAGGAAAGACACATTTTTAAAAATGAGAGAGACCATTTGATACAAAGTGCATAACCAATGGTTAGGTCATAGTCTCTGACCTAGATGGCAACTTGAAGAGACTGACAGGAAGGATTAAGGGAGAGATGCACAGAGCGAAGAACAGCTTCTTTGCCCCCCAGGGGGCCCTTCCTCACCATCCTCACAGTGCAACTTTACCCTCACGAGTGCACCTGGACCACTGGTATATTATGCAATTTGTGTTATTTCAAAATCAGTTATCCCTGCTACTAAATCATTTTGCAATGAATATGTTCCTGTAGAGAAGTAGCCATGACCTTTTTAAAAAAAGACTGTTCTCTTGCATAATAATGTTTATGTCTTGTGTCCAAGCTCTCACACTAGAATAAACAATATCAATGTCTACTTCTTTCTTCTACTCAGCTTTTGGAGGGTATGTTTAATACACAGTAGGGTAGGTGCTTGACATGTCAGTGAGCTATTGTCAAACAATGAACACTCCCAGGATGTAGACTTACTATTGTTCAGTCATCACTGGGTCAGCTGTGTGGTTCCTCTGGTCTGGGCCATGCTAGGAGCTTTCGGCAGAACTCATTTTGCCTCTTCCTCGCCAGGCAGCTGCTGAGTCAGCTGGAGGCTGCCAGTCTAAGGCCACTTCAGCCATGGCAGCTTGATTCTGCTCCACGTGGTCCCTCATCCTGCAGCAGACTGGCAGCTGGGCAACTCCCAAGAGACAGAACAGATGTGCACAGGCCTCTTCAACCCTAGGCTCAAGCAGGATGTTATTTTCCTGCCTATTGGCAGAAGCCTATTGGCCAAAGCAAGTCACTCTGGATGGGAGGGGCTGGAAAGTCACAGTTCAAAAGGTGGGGATGCAGGAAGGGGTAAAAATTGTGTTCATCTGAAGGTAAATATCTAGCCTTTTCACTAAGTATCAGCTGAGGTTCTGTGGCACACCCAGCTGTGTTAGTAAGAGAACCCCTGAGTAAAATTCCTGTTCCTACAGAATCTAAATCTTATTGGCAAGGTTCACCGGCATCTTTACCATAACTAGCTAATACCTGTTAAGGCCTCAATAACATTTGTTTGATGAATACATTCATGGGCCATCTAAAGTATTCATTTTTCAAACTCTCATGGAGTAGTAGCCTATTCAGTTCATTTGTCATGTATATATCGTATTTCAGCGTGTCTAAGATACATATTGTTCATTTCTCAACTCTGGAATCAGAATGAGACTATGAATGTGATTTTTTAAAAATACTACATCATAAACAATTTGTAGCATTTCCATTTTATGGTGGTAAATAAAATAACTTATTTTACATTGACAGCATCTTACACTGAATGAAATATATTATATATGAAATATATTATATTTCATATATAATTTAGAAAACATGTATGAATATTTAGGCATGCTTCTCTTGAGGTTTAATTGGGAAAAATTTTCCTAGGACCACTCGATTCTGTGCACAGTCAAGCCTCCAGCAATCACATGAGCTCTATACTGATTTATAAATGTTAAAACCAACAGCTGAGGCATAACAACTTTACATATTTATAAAAACTTACTTCTCAATTTTTCAAACTGCTATTAAATGTAAAACATGTATCTCTTATGTAATTAAAGCATAAGTGTATATAAAAAACATGTACATTTCTAAGCCATGCACTTAACAGATTTTTTTTTGTAATTTAGTGTTCAAAATTAACCAGCCTTAAGAAGGCCAAGAAATATAAAAATTATTAAACTGTATGAAAAGTCTGAGAAATTGTAGAAGGAATACTTAAAAAAAAAAACTTTAGGAGAGATGAAATTAACTCGAAGAAAAATAAAATTTTATGACATTGAGAATAGAAAACATTTAAAAGTGAACAAAGGACAAAAACATCACCAAACTAATACATGGTGATTTATCGGTAAGTATAACCTGTATCAACTACATTATAAAGGAATAACACTGAGCGCTGAAATATAAAATATTGGGCAAATTGAGTAAAAGACATTAAATAGATACAACAATATTTGAGAACTAACCATTGACATCAGCTAGGTCAGTGGCCCTATGGTCCTCTCACCACCTCTTACCTGTCCTCTTTTTCTGGTATTTCCACCTAGAGTTGTAGCTTGTATGGAAGTTGGAAGAAGAGGTCAGGAAGGAATAGGACAAGCTCTTCTCTATCCTTCCTCCTCTTCTGTGATTGCCAGGACTTTCTTCTACCACACCACACCTCCTTCCTTACTGGGATCAGGGACATAAACTCTGGAAATATACATGAGCTCACCTGGGTTCACTGCAACTCCCCTGTTCTTGCCAACTCAAACCCAAACACACCTGCCCACTGATGATCACAGAGCTCCCTACCCCCAATCGAGGCTCCTGGCTCTACTGCATACTTCAGGGAATGATTTTCAAAACTGGACACATTTGTATTGCTATCAAATAAAAAGGTGAAATTAACTTATGACTGTAGCAAACATTGTACATAAAAAGAGAAGAGAGACTCTGGACTTTCACAATCAAGGTTGTATCAAGATCTACAAAACAAGGAAGAGGTGATGACTAAGAAAAATAGTATTTTGTGGCTATGAGTTTACAAAAATATGTTATCAATTCATCATTAGACTGTTATTTACTGGGATAATGTTCCATCGGCGTCCAAGTGCAGATTTTTTTTTTTTAAGTTTTCAATTGTTGTGGTTTTATGGACTTTTTTTGGGGGGGCGGGTAGAGTGGAATGGGCAAGATGAAAACCAGATGAAATTCACCTTGGTGAGATGAAGACTAAAATTTACAGAAGTGAGAACATTATCATCAAGAGGATGTTGACCGATTGTGTGATGGTATTCGTTGCTTTTTCATACAAAATATTTTTAAGAAAGCCTTCTGAAAACGCCTGTGACACAATGGATACAAAAAGGGATTGACAAAGGAGTTGAACCACTGCAGCCAAAATGCAATTCTGTACCAATCCGATTTTGAACGCTGCTCTGGTTTGTAAATTGAAAGAACAACTGTGGACAGAGAATATGGAGCCCAGCAAATGGCAAAAAAAACCAAGAGAATAGCCAGCGACTTAGCTAATTTTTTAGCTCTGAGCAGTTCCGTATGTTCTCTTTGGTGAAGAGCTATAGAATCCGATTTGGAGAGGGAACTAGCTTTAGAAGTGATTGTATTGCTATTCACGTAGGTTCTGAAGGAAAACAAGAGACTGTTGTTTCTTCCTTGTCTCTCTGAACCACAGGATGATGTTGCGTCCTTCCCTGCAGGAAGAGATGTCCTTGAAAACAGTCCATGTCTGGATGAGTGCCCGCAGTCTCTGGAGGAGACAGAGGTGAGTCCAGGATGGCTGAGGCACCTACCAAGATTACCCCGCTTCCAAAGGCTCCAGTAAATATGCACATTGAAATAAGCAACTAAGATGACTGGGACCAGGAATTCCAAGAACGATGTAATAAGGGGGATGTACCATTTCAAAAAAAATCCAGGTTCACATTCCTTATTATTATTATTCCAAGTATTATTCTTCCAAGACTCTGAAACCAGAATCGTTGGCCCATTTACCAAGAAGGCCAGCACCCAAACAGCCACCATCTGAGTGACAATCTTCAAGATCTCAGTATGTTGAGCTCTATAAGACACCTACAAGAGACCAAATAAGTTTGTTTCAATGTCATGAACATTTGTTGATGCACAAATCATCCCACAGGCTCTCAGAAGTTTCAGGGATGTGCAAGAGGTTGAGACATGATATATAACATGGGTATTGTGACATGTGCCAGGACACAGAGTTCTATTTGAGTGGAACCTGAGCCACAATGTGGATTTTCTTAATGATTGTCAAGAGGAAAATTATAACCTTCAAGGTTAAACCTCCGACACCAAAGAAAATGTCAAGGTTAATATCTAAAATTAGAAAACAAATATTCCCACCAATAGACATTCATCTGAATGTTAAACTGAAATAAGGTACACCTGATCACATTATTTCTCAACCTGCAGGCTGGATCAGGGCAGGCATTCTTTTTAATGCAATAGAAGAGTCAATGTCACAATGCATCACGCAGAGTTATTGTTTGATGATGTTTTTTCAACCAAAGTAATATACCTTTGGGAATACAGATACACATAGGGAGAGAAATGCATGTACTACATCACCAATCTAAAACACATTTCTCATCATGGTCCCAAAGTTCAAAAATCATGCCTTATCCGATTCCACTTTTCAGAAAGAATCTACTCTGCAGTTCATTCTGGGGCCTGAAGGTGGCGTCAAGAACAGAAAGAAGGACTCTTACATCACTCCCAAGAAGATAAGCACACACCCAAAGATGTTTACATCTGCTGTTGGGAAATACTGCAGTGTTACTGAGAATTACCAAATCACTCCATCCACAGCGTTTCCATCAAATAGATCACAATGCCAACGATGGGATGGCCAGCCACTGACAGAAATGACTGTGGCAAGTGCCACTGCTGGTTTTAAGGGTAGACAATGTTCTAGCTCCACTGGGTGACAAAGACAGGCTTCTACAGGGGAAAAAGCTTCTGTAAGTGATGGCTGACCTGGGATCACAGGATCCTTGTGTCAGGCCTGAAATCATTAAGAATATCTTCTATGTCAAAGGACATCTAAGGCCCACCATTCTATACGAGGGGTAAACATCTGGATCAAGAATTTTGTAAGGGCATTTAGAACAGGCAAACTTTCTGAACCTCTTTTAGGTCTATAAGTTTCCTTCCAGTTCAAACATTCCATATGTCTCTACTTTCCTCCCTTTCAAGAAAGGAAATGATTTACCCAGGAAATAGGAACGTGCCTTTCACTGTCTCTATTTTTTTTTTTCATTTTTTTTTAGTTGTTGATTGACCTTTGTTTATTTAATTATATGTGGTGCTGAGAATCGAACCCTTGTACCTCACACATGCTAGGCAAGCGCTCTACCAACTGAGCCACAACCCCAGCCCTCACTATCTCTTGTGTACTATTTTCTCATGAGTTTTAAAAGCTAGCCTACAGTGTTTGTCCTATTTTTAAGGGGTATAACACTTCTAGCACTGTGTTTCTTTGTTGGATGTACCTGCTAAGAAGAGATGACCAATGGCTGGAGGTAAGAGAAAACTGGTTAGTAATTTTAAAAAATAATAAATATTTTTCAACTGTGGGGAAGTGGTTTTTCTCATCCCACCATACTACTGGCATTTCTGAGGATATGCTAAGATGCTAACCAGAACCATGATGACCACAAATGCCTTCTGCTTCTTTATGCCACTAATTAATACATCTCTTGCACTAAATCTAATGACTATGAAGATGGTAACAATACCCAGATGGTCATAAAACTGCATTTCATTTTTTAATTACTCTGTGCTGCCTTTGTGATGATATAATACAATATGCTGGAAAGTGATCTTTCATTATGCATAAGGTCAATGGAGATAATGGACATCCAAGAGATTTGAGAAGAGAATGCCAATCCCTTCATCTTGAGGGAGCATTTTGGACAGATAAGCAGCTCAAGGATTGCTTGAATCCAGACAACCAGCTGGGGTGGCCTCCTAGAATCCATTGATGCCCAAGTTCTCACTCATTGCTCCAATAAAATACCCAAATTTCTGTCTGTTGGATTTATTTTGTGAGGCAGAGAAGCACACTAGGACATACCGGTGTTAAAAATGAGATAAGATTACAGACACAGTCTAAGTGCCTGTTATGAGTTGAATTGTGTCCCCTAAAAAAGATATATTTAAGTCCTAAGCACCAGTACTTGTGAATGTGGCCTTATTTGGAAATTAATATTTATAGATGTAATAAAAAAATGAGGTTGTATTGGATTAGGGTTCACTTTAATCCAAAATTACTGGATTAGGGTCCACCTTAATCCTATATGACTGGTTCCCTCACAAAGGGAAATAGACCAGAGATCCTGCATCTAATGGAAGAAAAAGTAGGTCCAAATCTCCATCATGTTGGATCAGGTCCTGACTTCCTTAACCAGACTCCAAAAGTGCAAGAAATAAAATCAATAATCAATAAATAAGATGGATTTAAACTAAAAAGTTTTTTCTCAGCCAAGGAAACAATCAATAATATGAAGAGAGAGTCTACAGATTGGGAGAACATCTTTACTACATGCATATCAGATACAGCAGTAATCTCCAGGATATATAAAGAACTCAAAAAAAACTTAGTACCAAAACCAGAAATAACCCAATCAATAAATGGGCTAAGGAACTGAACAGACACTTCTCAGAAGATATACAATTTATCAAAAACTCTAGTAATTAGAAAAATGCAAATCAAAACTACTCTAAGATTTTTATCTCATTCCAGTCAGAAAGGCAGTTATCAAGAATACAAACAGCTGGGGTTGTGGCTAAGTGGTAGAGCGCTCGCCTAGCATGTGTGAGGCGCCAGGTTTGAGCCTCAGCACCACATCAAAATAAATAAATAAAAATAAAGGTATTGTGTGTCCAACTTACAAGTAAAAACAATTAAAAAAAATAATACAAGCAACATTAAGTGTTGGCAAGGATATAGGAGAAAAGTTACACTCATACATCACTGGGAGCAATGCAAATTGGTGCAACCACTCTGGAAAGCAGTATGGAGATTCCTTAGAAAACTTGGAATGGAACCACCATTTGACCCAGCTATCCCACTTCTCGGTTTATACCCAAAGGACTTAAAACCGGCATACTATAGTGACACAACACATCAGTGTTTGTAGCAGCACAATTCACAATAGCTAAACTGTGAAACCAACCTACATGCACTTCAATAGATGAATAGATAAAGAAACTGCGGTATATACACAATGGAATATTACTCAGCATTAAAAGAGAATAAAATTATGGCATTTGCAGGTATTATGGATGGAGTTGGAGAATATTATGCTAAGTAAGCCAACCCCCCCCCCCAAAAAAAAAGGCCAAATTTTCTCTCTGATAAGTAAATGCTGATCCATAATGGAAGGCATGAAAAGAAGAGAGGAACTTTGGATTGGACAAAGAGGAGGGAGGGAAGGGGAAGAGGTCATGAGGGTAGGAAATATGGTGGAATGAGATGGACATCATTACCCTGGGCACATGTATGATTGCACTAATGGTGTGACTCTACATTGTGTACAACCAGAGAAACAAAAAGTTGTGCTCCATTTGTGTATAATAAATCAAAATGCATTCTGCTATCATGTATAAAAATAATTAGAACAAATAAAAATAATAAATTTTTTTTAAAAAAAGAAGAGGAAACAGAGACACAGACACTCAGGGAGAAAACCAGGTGACAACAGAGGCATAGATTGGGGTGGAGAATCTATAAGCCAAGGATTTCTGGCAACATCAGAAGCTAGGAAAAAGAATTGAACAGGTTCTCTAGAGCCTTCTGAGAGAGGACAGTTCTGTTGTCCCCCTCCTTTCAAGGTGAGAGAATAAATTCCTGTTGTTTCCAGCTACATGGAATCTATCCTTCTAGAAGATTCTGAGTACTGTAATATTGTGCTGCCAAATTATTGTAATATTTCCATTTCTCAGGCCAAGCCCACCCATTGCCTATCACATCACCTGATCTAGAGTCAGAGCTCAGCTTCCCACCACCACTTCCGTGAACTTACAGGAGTCCTAGAAGTCTTCCTTCTGGTTTCACTAGGCTTCCCCGGAATCATTAGCGTAGTGCCTCCATGCATTCACCACTGGAGACTGTTATGCATTCACCTCTGTGCTGCATACTAGGGACAGGGATCGAGGCACTGCCAGGTATGTCCTCAGGGTAAGACTCAGAGAAAACACACACACACACACACACACACATCCACTTTCTCTCTGGTATCATTTCTCTTCTCTCTGAAATCTCTAAGCACTTTTTCTACATGGGCAAGCTGTCCCTCTTCTGCCCACAAGCATGAGGGTAGACACAAAAGCTTGGACAACCCGTGAAAGAAGTCTTAGGAACATCCAATGAAAATTAAAAAGAAACATTAATCCATAAAGAAAGGAAAATTTAAAAGTACAAATGGGAAAGATTCTGATTAAGAGTACATAGAGTATTTAAAGTAAATATATTTCTAAAGCAAGAATTCTATTTTGCATCATAACCAAGAATACAGACAAGAATATTCATAGAACAGTAGTTGCCTTTATGATGCACAAGGTATTCTGATATTTTCTACCCTAATTTTATATTTTGTTCTATTCTACTCTATTCCCCGTTTTTTCATTAAAAAAAAAAATAAGCAACCAATTGAACTGATTTCATGACTCAATAATGGGTAAAGTCCTACAGCTTGGAAAATACAACATTATTGGTATCTGAATTATCAATCCAAACTGATCTATACTTTCTCCATAGTTTGACCAATATAAACTACAATGAACCCTGCCACTAATTAAGTACCCAATACCAATTTGTGGAAATAGCTGGCTGTCCTCTCAAATTCATTTTACCCTTTCCCTTAGCCATATGGTAGCACAGTTATAGACCATAGTCCCCAAATTCTTGTGCACAGGGGTGGAACCATGTAACTAAGTTTCATCAATAAAATGTGAGGGGAAATGAGAAAGCGATTCTGCAGTACTTACTTTAAAGAAAATCCCTGTCTTGGACTTCTGTCCTTTCCCTTTCCTATATAGAACCTGGAGTAACAACAGCCTAATTTTAACTCTGCAGAGAATAATAACCTAGAGCAGATGTAAGCAAACTACTGTCTGTGGAACAAATGTGGTCCACCGTTGTTTTTCTAAATAAAGTTTTATTGGAAACAATTGTGCACATTTTTTTTAACCTATTGTCTAGGGCTGTTCTGTGCTACAACAGTGAAGATGAGTAGTTCCAATCAAGACCATAGTCCTTCAAAGCCGAAAGTATTTACTATCAGGTCCTGTATAGTAAGTTTTCTGGTCCCAGACTTAGAGGAGAGGGTACAGAGCCACCCTGTTACTGGGGTCCTGGAGCACAGCCTTCCACTTTTCGTGGACTGGTCTGTGATCCAAAAAAAAATTACTGTCTTGCTTGAGCCTCATCATTTTGAAATCTCTTTGATCCAGCAGTTTATCCTTTGCTTTATCTAATACTTTCTCCCAGGTGTATATGCCTTCAAGTCACAGAGTCTTCCTGGAGGGGAGCCATCACTGTTTTCTCAAGGTCATAGCATAGTACTTAGACCACATATTAAACCCATGTACTTCTGGGTCTGCCTCCACTTAGATTATTATGATCTTCCAAACAGGGTCTCTGCTCATTCATTTCTATATCCCAACACTTAGCAAAATCCCTGTCACCCTATAGTTGCCAAGGATTTAGATCCCTGAGAGTGAGAAGTGAAAGTGTCCCATTGAGGCCTCAAAGATTTCAAATTACTGCCCCATATTTCTGAGGCTTTCTTCAAACTGATGTTCTCCTTTGTTCTGTTTCTGAGAAATTTAGCTTGCTTAAGAATAGTTACTAACTATTGAGGCTATTCCAGATTTTGGCTAAGTTCAGACTTTCTTGGCTTAGGTCTAACACTGGCACTGGGACTTGGTCTTTTGGGCTAATTCCACTGTATAACCTGGCTTCTCCTTTTGGCCATTCAGAACTGATTTTCTCATCTCATTCAAAAATCTGGGGTTCTTTCTAATTGCCTAGCAAATTCCTGAAGAAAATATTCAGGTCTCAACTTGTCTATGGAGTGGAACCTACTGTGAACCTCTCATATATCCATGAAGATAGTACAACACTGAGACAGCTAGCCTGGTGCTTCCTTTGATGCCTTCCCATTTCAGTAGTTCATAGGGGAGTGACTTACCTCGACCACATAGACTAAGGGCCATTGAGAATTTTGTAACAAAAGGATCAGATTCTTCAACAACAACAACAAAAAAGAAGACTTAAATATTAGACTTTAATTATTAGACTTAAAAAATGTTTTTGTTGGGATTTGGGTATAGTTCAGTGGTAAAGCACATATTTAGGGGTAATTTCCTGGATTCCAGCTCCAGATAATTTGAGAGAACCAAAATTTTCATCTATATTTCTAAGAAAAATAAATTAAACGTTTTGACTTACAGCATTAGAGACTGACTGGTATCGATCATAGCTGATGAGAACAATGTTATACACAGATGCTGTACACAAAAGATGGTCAATGATGAGCCAAAATACACAGAGTTCATTTCCAAAATTCCAACCAACCAGTGTGTGAGGGATGTACAGAGGAATGGAGATCACACCTGTTCAGGGGAAAACAAGAAGTAGCAAATAGCACACATGGATGAATACAAAAAGGTAGATCCAAATGGGTACACAACACAATGACATATCTGAATTCACTAAATATTGTTTGGTTATTGCTATAACTTGGATGAGAATCCCCCAAAGGGCATATATAGAAGATTAGTCATAAAAGCAGCAGTATTTGGAGGTTTGTGAACTTCTAAGAGTTGGGGCCTTTTGGGAGGTCCTTAGGTCATTGAAAACATGTTCTTGAAGGAGACTTGGGGACCCCAGACTCTAAATCTCTCTCTGTTTCCTGCCTCTAGATGTGAGCAATAACTCTGACATGTGTTCCTACAATTATGATTTGCCATCTTCATCAGAAGTCGAATCAATGGGCCAAAACCAATCTCAGATTTGAACTCCAAACTGTGAGCTAAATAAACATTTTCTTTTTATAAGCTAATTGTCTCAGATACTTTGTTGTAGCAATGCAAAGCTGACCAACACAGTTATATATAGAAATTCACAGTATTTCACTAAACAGCTCAGGACTTACTTTCTATGCACTCTAAATGTGATTTTTTAATAATAGACGTCATGAACAATGTACCTCCAAAGGCTCCTTATTACTTCCAATTTAAATACAGATCCTGACCTCTATTTCTAGTCATATACAGTAGAAACCATCTTTATGTTCTTCATGATCCAACCCAAAGAGAGTCGGCTTCACCAAACATAACCCACATTTTCATATCTCTTTCTCTTTGTTCACATCATTCTTTCTTCTTAGAATGTCGTCCTCTTTTGTTTATTTATTTATTTAAGTGCTGGGGATTCAAACCTAGACTCTTGCACACACTCTTGTCCTCCTTTTTTTCTACTGAAAAAAAAATGTGCTTACTTCTTTATCGTTTTTCCCTAAAGTCAAAAAATGACTTCCTCCTTGTCACCTTTCTTGGAACTTCTTTGGCAGAAGTGATCCCTCTGTCACCTGCACTCTCCTGGCACTTTGCCACTTTGTCTCTTCTTCTCTAATTTCATTCCGTTTTACATCACAGTCATCTCTTAATTTGTCTCTCTTGAGGCTGAAGAGCATGTCATAAATCAATGCTTACATTTTCTATGATGCCTAGATTGATTTACACGGTCGTTTGCACATTTAACTTAAACTAATAAGCTAATATGTATTGTACAAACGACCATATGTCTGACACTGTGCTCTGTGCATCATAAATATCATCTCACTTAATCTTCATAGAAACTTGGTGAGGTAGGAACCGTGCTGAATTAATAGTTAAGAACCAACTACACAGAAAGAAGAGAGGAACAATTAAACTTATCTAGTAAGTGGAGAAGAAGCTGAATCTGAAACCAGAAACTGTGATTTCAAAACCCCTGATTCCAACCACAACCCTTCACTGAATGAACAAATAAGTAAACTCTACCATGGCAATTCACCCCAGCACAGAAACTGCTTACCTGTGAAAGTAACTAAGCTGGGTTCCCCTTCTTTTAGTTTTTAGGGTTTTTTTAAAAACTGTGTTGACATTTCAGACAGGTGTCTTTACTTGCTAAGAATATGACACATTAAGTGGGAACTCAGTTGAAATCTGATTTTGGTGATTATCTTCATATTTTATCAGACACTTACAGAAATTCTCATTTTAGGTGCATGAGAACCAAACTAGCCTATCATTGTTGGTGGGAGTGCAAATTAGTACACCTACTCTGGAGAGCAGTGTGGAGACTCCTCAAAAAAACTAGGAATGGAATCACCATATGACCCACCTGTTCCACTCCTCGGTGTTTATCCAGAAGACCTAAAATCAGCATACAATAGCAATAACATCCACTTCAATGTTTATAGCAGCACAATTCACAATAGCCAAGTTCTGGAACCAATCCAGATGATTGTCAGTAGGTAAGTGGATTAAGAAAATGTGGTGTATATACACAATGGAGTTCTATTCAGCCATAAAGAAGAATGAAATGATGGGATTTGCCAGTAAATGGATGGTGACATGGAGAAAATGTTAAGCGAAATAAGCCAGACTAAGAAAATCAAAGAATGAATGTTTTCTCTCATTTATGGAAGCTAGAGCAAAATAAGGGAAAGAAGATGGTTGGAGAGGGGATCAGATGTCATAAAGATAGGAGGTCGATCAGTGGAGCAGAAGGAGAGGGAGGAAGGGAAAGGGGAGGATTAAACGGAATGAATTTGACAAAATCAGGCTATATTCATATATAAGACTTCTGAAGGGAATTTCACTTTTACACGTATGTAGAAGAAAGGAAGTTTAAAAGAGTAAAGGAAGGAGAAGGGAAGAGGGGGCTCGAAATCAAATTCCTTGCAAGTTTGATTTTGTCAAAATGAATTACTATGCATAATTATGATACACTAATAAAAATACATTTTAAAAACAGAATAAATCATAAGTAAGTAGAGAGAAAAGAAAAGAAACAGGGAGGAAGAAGGAAATAGCCCCTGAATTCTTCCAAAACAAGACAACATGAGACTACAATGGCAAGATTTCAGAACCAGTGGAAGGGAACCCAGAATGTAGGATTCTTATCTGGATTTACATACAGAGTCATCAGATGGACACCATAGAGAAGAAGAGCTGCATGGTCAGTTTTTATAGGTATGTAGTCCAAGTAAACTTGCTTTATGTTTCAATTTTATTTTTTCATATTTATCTATCTATCTATCTATCTATCTATCTATCTATTTATTTTTGGTAATAGGGATTGAACCCAGGGTGGTTTAACCACTGAGCCACATCCCCTGTCCTTTTTGTATTTTATTGAGAGACAGGGTCTCATTGAGTTGCTCGCTACATTGCTGAGGCTGGCTTTGAACTCAAGATCCTCCTGCCTCAACCTCTGGAGCTTACTGGGATTACAGTTGTGCCACTACCGCACCCAGCTTCAATTTTATTTTGAAGACAAAAATTCTCAACTCAACCCTTATGGGGTGTGTGTCTGCGCATATGCCCATGCACACAATTGTAAAACAAAGAAGTGCACTACGTTTACCTGAGATAAATCAAAGTATCTCAAAAACAGACACTTTATGATATTTTGGCCCACCCCAGTGGATTCCAGTGTTTGCAACATGAATATTTTCACAGCTGCATTCATTTCTCCCACAGAGTGAGATGCCAGTAACCATTTGCATTATAGACATCACTAACTTAAAGGTTAAAGGGAGCCAGACATGGTAGTGCACATCTGTAATCCCAGCGGCTCGGGAACTGAGGCAGGAGGATCTAGAGTTCAAAGCTGACCTCAAAGCAGAAATGACAAGGCACTAAGCAACTCAGTGAGACCCTGTCTCTAAATAAAATACAAAATAGGGCTGGGGATGTGTCTCAGTGGTCAAGTGCCCCTGAGTTCAATCCCTAGTACAACATCTCCCTCCCCCCAAAAAAAAGGTTAAAGGGAGGGATCTGACTTAAATCCTCTTTTTCACATGCATTTTGGATTATATGAAAGAGGAAGGGTGTGTTCAAAACCATAGAAGCAGCTTGAATTGCAGTTAGCTTAAAACAGACTCTAATCTATTTAGTTTTAGTAAAACCCTGCTGTCCACCTTATGTTCTTGTGCTGCGTTTTAATACAAATGTCATGTTCTCAGTTCCTCTGTCTAGAAGTCATAGAGATATTCTGAAGGAGTTTCTGAAAAGTGAATATGAAATATCCCTCAGATTTAAGTGTTTCTACAACTTTTGCTCTGGAACTGTGCTTGTGGGTCAAACGAACTCACTGAGGAAAGCCAAGAGCCAATTCCTTGAACACAACAATGAGCCTTTGACATATGTGATTTAGAAAAAAACTGAAGTGAGAAATAGCAAATAAACTATATTAAAAGAATGTGGGAAAGGGGTGGGGCTGGGGCTCAGTGGTAGAGCCCTTGCCTTGCACTGGGTTGGATCCTCAGCACCACGTAAAAATAAATAAATAAAGATATTGAAAAATATGTATTATTTTTAAAAAATGAATGTGGTAAAGGAGGAAGAAAGGTGAATAAACAGGGACAAGAGAAGGAAGGAAGGACAATGAGAAGAAAAGCTTGTGAGACTCTGAGGACTCAAGTCATTCCGGGTGACTTGCTTCAGCCCAGCGGCCCACCTCCCCTTACTCCTGCGCCCCTCCCTCATTCTGCCCCAGCTCCTCTGGCCTCCCATACACGGCACACCCTCCCACCTCCCTCCTCCTCACTTGCTGTTCCTTGGCAAGAAATGCTCTTCCTCCAGAGAGCTGCTGATTTCTCCTGTGCCTTTCTCAGCGAGCCCACCCCCAATGCTTAAAATGGTAACCCCCACCCAGAACCCTGCCTCCCCCTCAGCCTGCTATATTTTTCTCAACAGCAATTATCACCCTCTAAAATGCTACTTCGTTTTATCTACTTATTTATGTAGCTTATTATTCAGCTCCACTTCCCTGCACCTAGCAGAAACAGAACACCAGGGAGCAGGACTTTTGTCTGGATCTTCAGGGCCATGTCCCTGGCAACTCTAGAGAGCACCCGCTTCAGAATAAGTCATTGTCCAGTGAATGAGTGGATGAGGGTGGGATGCCCAGTTTGCTTCAAAATTGCCTCAGTCTGGGATTGCGCCTTCTCTCCAAGTCAGCCAAGCTGCTATACCTTTTATGGGAAAATGTCAAACAAAAACTGAAGGGAGCCAATAGCCTCAGTCAGTCCTTTGGGCCAACACAGGGACAAGTGGATGACAGTAAATGCACAGAGGTGTTAAGGACTAAGTGTTCATCTACCCTCCCCAATTCATATACTGAAGCCCTGACCCTCAGTGTGACTGTATTGGAAGATGGGACCTAAGGAAGAAATTAGGGGTAAATGAGGTCACAAGGGGGTAGCCCTGATTCAATAGGAATGATGTCCTTTAGGGAAGAGACAACAGAGAGCACTCAGAGAATGCCCATGTAGCCAGGCACAGTGGCATATGCTTGTTATCCCAGCATCTCAGGAGCCTGAGGCAGGAGGATCGCGGGTTCAAAGCCAGCCTCAGCAACTTAATGAGGCCCTAAGTCATTCAGCAAGACCCTGTCTCAGAATATAAAAAATGGCTGGGGGTGATGCTCAGTGGTTAAGGCCCCTGGTTTCAATCCCTGATACAAAGAAAGAAAGGCTACATGAAGACACAGTGAGAGGGGACCTGTCAGCCAGGAAAAACGTTCTCACCAGGAGCTTGATTGTCCAGATCCTGGATTCCCAACTTTCATAACCGTGAAAACACATCCCTGTTGTCAAAGCCACGCAGACTCTACAGTCTGTTATACCAGCCCAAGTAGACAGAGGGATGGAGAGGTAGAGAAGGTGCTGAATGGGCACATGAAGGTATTAAAGATAAACTTTAATTTATCCTGGAATTTTGTCTTGGATTGGCAACACTTTTCATCCCTGAAAATCCCATCCAGGCCACATATGACATAGCTGCATAGGCTATAAATGCCCACAGTACATGTAGACACCCACAGATGGAAACATTAGCCACGTGATAGCAATTTTATAGATATACAGATATATTTTTCCATCTACATTTATCGATAGTGTATAGATGAGATGCTGTGCAGTCAAACTATATTGATATATATCTCATTTTTATATCATCCGGTATAGCTGGTAAAGGAATTTTTCCCTCAATAACTCTTTGCTTTCCAACAGTAAATTCAGCCTGGGAAGCTAGCTATGCAGCTGCCACAAATTTAGATTTCAACAGGAGGCAAGTTCTAAAGCCTGTGAGGAAGGGTGTTTGGCCATGTGTGTATGAGGATCTAATCTGCCATCATCACAGGGTTCCGGTGATCTGGGTTTCCTGACCCCAAATACAAAGAATGGCTGCCTTACAGCTACAGAAAACCTCTCGAGTCCTGACATGCCCTACCACCACCTCCCAGAGTTCCTCCAAGCGGTAGCGCGCTCGCCTGGCATGTGTGCGGCCCGGGTTCGATCCTCAGCACCACATACAAAGAAAGATATTGTGTCTGCCGAAAACTAAAAAATAAATATTTAAAAAAAAAATTCAAAAAAAAAAAAAAAAAAAGAAAAGCTCAGGGACTGTCCCAATTCTTATGTCATAGCAAGTGCCATGTTAAATGAGTAACTCTGGATAAAGCTGGCAGGGACAGGGGAACCATGAAGGATGAGACTGGAAGATGACCAGAGATTCTGTTTGGCCTACATGCAGCTCCTCTTAGCAGGAGTCGACCCTACACCCATCCTCCTGCTGATGGAGGGAGACCACCAGGAACACTAAATAACTACATGTACCATTTCTTAAAGACAAGGCAGATCTTTGTGGTGTGGTACTCCAGCCCTGGATGGTGGGGAGGAGCTGCCTTGATGTTGACCTTGAGCCAGACATGGAGATACTCATTCCCACATTCTTATCTGAAACCATCTTTGTTCAAAAGCTTCAGGCTCTGGGTTCTCAGTCCTTTCACCTGGTCCCTCCCTACTTCCAGGGTGGTCAGGGCCTCACTCCCATTGGGTTAGACAAAATACATCATCTATTTTATATGCTGATCATCACTAAAAGCCACACAATTCTGTGGAGGAGGAGAAGAAGAGAGATAAGTATATTTATAGCAGAACATTCTGTACGTTCACATAAATAGACTTGTATATTTGTACATGTTTATGTGAGCATAGAGAATAATGTGAAACCTACATCAAGCTGCAAATGTTGGCTAGCTGGAAAAATTGAATGGAGGAGGGAAGCAGGAAGACTGATGCTTTTTTTTTTTAATATTTCTACATTGGTTATCCCCGCTTCATTTGTGACCCTGTCAATTTATGCCATGGCTCCTCAATCAATTTCCCTGACAACAGTTTCCTCCAGAACTTTGAAGGCAACATCAGAATCACAGCTGCTCTCCCCCAAAGCCCTTCACTTTCCCTGTGTGCCAGCCCTTTCTTAGTACCAGAAGCCCAGTCGTTGACTCATCTTTATCTTGACCAACCCCACCCTGTGCAGATCTGCCTCCTGCCCTTCCTTTCTACCCTCATCCTGGCTCAGAGCCTTGCCACATGACCTCTGCCTGGATTGCTGCACCATCCGCCTGAAACATGCTCTGCATCCTCCAACCTCTCCTACCTCCTATAGCCCGTCTGATGCCTCCGAGAGAAAGTTCAATCCATTCACTTGCTCACCTGCTTTTAAATTCTTAAATCTCCACATTACCATTTAATAATCCAGACTGACACTACTGCTTACTACTATTCCCATCCAGCTGACAATACTATTTAAAGCTCTTGGCCATATAGATTTCGACTTCCTCCCTTGCTGTTCCCATTTCAATTGTCTACAGAGCAAACCCCAAGCTCACCCAGGGAGATATGCCTGGTAACTTCATAGCAGCGTGTTGATTGCTGGTAATGCTTGGGATTCTTCTCTCCTCCCCATATCTGCCTATGGAAATTCTATTCATCTTTCAACAGTTAATTTTGAATGCCACTCTCCACTAAACGTGCTTTATCCCTCCTCTGAGTGACCTCTGGTGGGTCTTTGTGGGGTCCTACATTACTCTATATCTCTATAGTCATTTGTGAATTTCTCTATTCCACTCCACTATATTGAAACCTCCCTGAAGGAGAATAACCTACTCTTCTATAAATCCCTTGATTATCTAATAATACCTGCACATATAACAGTATTGACACACACTGTGTACTATACTAATATTTGTGAATTTGGTTTGGGTGGACATATATCTATAGAGAAATCAAAAGAGAAGGGGACTAATATTTGTTGAGCAACCACTGTGTTCCAGGCAATGAATTAAGTATTCTTTGAGTTTTGTTTCATTTTAACATAAATGCAAGTTTTATGAAGCTATAAATGAAAAAATCTGAATATGCCAGAATAAATTATACTAGAAGCTCCTTTAAAATAATACCAGTTAGTTGACAGGTCTGTACTTATATTTATTATAATATGCATTATTAAAAAATGATAACCAGCAGAAAGTAAAACTTAAAAAGAACATGTTTTCAAAGAAACATTAATTTGATCTCTATGGTCTCATCCAATTATATAATGCTATATTATATGCAAGGTAGTTGAGTATATTTTATAATATCTGTTATGCCATAAAATAATACTATTAAACATGCTATTTAACTGACCTGAATATCCCATTTTCTGATTGTGCTGATTACCAGCATATGAATTATTCGTATTACCCTAACACTGTGATAGTGAGGAAGCTATATGTACTTAGAAAGAAATACCTATAAATCTAAACATACAAGGATAATAGTTCCAGAAACAAGTAACTCTTACACTAAAATAATTTTATATCTATTTGGGACTTACTTTTATTCTATACAAAGGAAAAAAAATCTTTTCAGATGAAATTTCCATTATCACACTGATTTACATTATGTATAATATTCCCTTAAAGTGCCATATAGACCCCTTCCCGGATTTTAATATTTTAACGTTTTTTGTGTTAATCCCTCCATCTCATAAATTCCCTTGAAATATTAACCGCTTAGTTTAAGGTTTTAGGAATAAATTATAAATGGAAAAGGTTATTTTAAATAAAGACACAACTTACCCACGAAGAAATCAGAAATGGCCAAGTTAAGGAAAAAAAAATTACTTCGATGTCTAAGGTTTTTGTCCACTACAAAAGCTAAAATAACCACAGCATTTCCTAGCATTATGGCAAAAGCTAGTAAAGACATTAAAAATGCTAAAGTAATTTGATAATTTGATATCGAGCTACTTGTACTATTAGCATTTGACATCACATCAAATGATGAAGAAGCTCAATATAGCAAAATTCAGACAGACAAACAGTTCTGACAAGTGTAACTTCCAACCAGATACCTAAAATATATAGTCTCCTACTCAAAACAACATTTTTTAATCTTATGCTGATCTCATAGTACTTCCTGATTCTTGATAAAGCATAAACTTGTGGTAACAGTTTCCCCTTAACTGACATTGAAAAAGTATTTCCAAAAAACAGTGAAATGTTTTTTCTTAATCAATTTAATATGATTCATCCAACCCCAGTGGAGCAATATTATATAATATCTAAAAAATACAACTTATACATTGCACGGATAATAAGTTGGGCTCAAGTGAGATTCAGTTTTTAAAACTAGTATATCAAGTTAAATACTCTCTTCATGTCAGGATGGAGTGATCCACTTAATTGCCCCATCTGAAACAACCAAAAAGTTGGACAAGGGTTTTCAAGGCACTGGACAGGAGGCAATGAAGGGCAGTAATCCCTGAGAGAAGGGGGAACAAGGGGAGCCCTGAAGTTGCCCTTGGATAGTGTCTTGAGAGTTTCCATGGCCCAGGAATGGAGGCCAAAGCCAGGCAGAACCTAGCTGACTCCCTGGGATGTGGAGATGGAGCTGAGAATTGGGAGTACCACAGAGATCTAGACCTAGAGGTCTGCAGAGGGCCTTCCTCATGTACTCAACAGAGTACTTAATCAGCACAGGGCAGAGAAACATTCTCAGGCAGGGAAAAGAACCATTTGAGAAGATTAGAGGAAACAGAACCCAGTGCCCACACAAGGCTAGTTACAGTGGCTGTTTCTCCTCAGCAAGACAGAAAACCTGGATAATTAATGGAGCATTGGATGGTCAACCCAGAAAGCTCTTGCTTAGTAGTGAGGGATAATTACTCCTGTACTAAATACTTCTTGGGTCTTGCTAATAACTCTTAAAAGCAAAACTTAAAAGAATCAAAATCAAAACTATCTCTAAGTAATTTGACTGCAGACTTGGACATAGCTCAAGATTATTTACAGAATATAAAAATATTCAAAACCCAGTGATGTAAAACTTACAATCCAAGCAAATATAACTTACAATGAGGGGGGAAAAATCAAATCATTGAAACCAACCTAGTATTAACAAAGAAGAGCATTAAAAGAGTTGTTATACCTGTATTTCAAATTTTACTAAAAATGTAAATATAGAGAAGTTATTCTTTAAATACCCAAATACAACTCTGGAAATAAAAACTAGAATGTTCTAACTAAAAATACACCGGAAATAATGAATGGCAGATCAGACATTGCAGAAGAAAAGATTGGCAAATTTGAACACAATGTAATATAAGCTACCCAAATGAAATACAAGATAAAAGAGAATTTAAAACAACAATTAACAGAGCACCACCAAGCTGTACGACAAATTCAAGTGACTTAATATATGTCTAAGAAGAATCCCTGAAAGAAAGGACAGAGCAGGGAACAGAAATAAATATTTTTTTGAAAATTTAATCGCCAAAAACTTTTACAGTTTAATGAAAACTATAAACCAAGAATCTCATTATATCACAAACACAAGAAACATAAAGAAGGGCTGGGGTTGTAGCTCAGAGGTAGAGAGCTTGTCTAGCATGTATGAGGCACTGGGTTCGATTCTCAGCATCACATATAAATAAAATAAAGGTACATTTACAACTAAAAAAAGTTTAAAAAAAATAAAGAAAAATACACAAGACACATCAAATAAAATTGCTCCAAAACAGAGTTTAAGAAGAAAATCTTGGGGCTGGGATTGTGGCTCAGTGGTAGAGCATTTGCCTAGCATGTATGAGGTACTGGGTTCGATTCTCAGCACCACATACCAATAAATAAATAATTTTTTTTTTTTTAAAAAGAAGAAAATCTTAAGAACAGCTGAGGGGAGAGAAGGCACAAAACATGCCAAATAAGAAAGACACGAATGACAACAGATGGTTTCCCGGAAGCGATGCATTCAAGAGTACGGTGGTTGCAACCTCTCTCAAGTGCTGAAAGGGAAGGAAGTGTCAACCTAGAATTCTCTGCTTACTACAAATAGCTATCAAAATAAAGGCTTTTTCAGACATGAAAGCTGAAAGAATTCATCACGAGCAAACTTGCACTGTGAGGAATGTTAAAATACTTCAGGAAAAAAGAAAATGATACCAAGTCTGAACATGAATATATACAAAGGAATGAAGAGCAACAAAAGTAGGAGTCTTCCTGCTTGTCTCTCCTGATAGCATGTGAGTTGTGGTGGGGGGGGGGGAGGGGATATATTTTGCTTCATTTGGTTACTTTTTATTTGTCTGACACATACAGGAAAGTGCACAAATCGTAAGTGTATAATTGTTGAACTTGAACAAATTGAATATACCCATATAACCATCCTCTATACTGACAAGCACCTAAAAATCTCCCCTTTTCTAGTTATTCAACCCTCGTGAGCAAGCACTATCCTGACATCCATAAACATAAGTTAATTTTGCCCATTTTTGTTTTTTTATAAATGGAGTTATGCATTCAGAAATTGTGTGAAAACACCTTTTCATATATGGTCATCTATATGGTCTGTGTTTTGTTGATTTAATTATAAAGAAATTGTTATATTATGCTCCACTATAATTTAATTTCATTTTCAATGCTTTTAAATTTATTAAAGTAAAAGAGATTGATTACATTTGCCCTTTCTTTATATTCCTCACTGGAAGGGCAAAAACTATTCTTTCCCACTTGCTCACCACAACCTGAGCCTGGGACTCCTTTATTTGATAATTTCAGCTAATATCTACCATCCATTAGATATCACTTAAAAACCAGAATCCAATCTCAGTAATAAACATACAAACATCTCTGAATTCAGAACCTACATCTATTTTAGCTTAAAATTTACAGCAGAAAGATACAATTTCTCAAAGACAAAGATTCTGGTGAAGCAAGGGGCAAGCAGAGATTCTCACCACCAAATTCCATTCCTCTCCATGGAGACCTGGGAGGAGAAACTCAGAGTACTTCTTGGGACTTCCTACCTGTAACCCTTAAGTCAAGACACTCAGTTCACTGCTAATGCAGACCACACTAAGTTAGACAACATCAATGGGCTAACACTCTCTCTCCCCCTCTCCCTTTCCCTCTCCCTTTCCCCCCCCCCGCCCCCGTCTCTCTCTCCATAAATATATGGTACTGGGAATCTAACTCAGGGGTGCTCTACCACTGAGCTACCATCTCCAGCCCTTTTTATCTTTTATTTTGAGATAAGATCTCATAAGTTGCTTAGGGTCTCACTAAGATGGTGAGGCTGACAATCCTTTAGTGTCAGACTCCCTGAGTTGCTGGAATTATGAATATACACCACACACTAGATAGATTTATTATTTACCTTCAAAGAAGAGAATTAATAGGAGATTGGAATAGATTAGTAAAATGCCTGCTTAAGAAGGGCATGACAGGGGCTGGAGTTGTAGCTCAGTGGTAGAGTGCTCCCCTTGAATGGGGAAGGCACTCTTCAATCCTCAGCACCACATAAAAATAAAGGTGTTGTGTCCATCTACAACTAAAAAAATATATATATTTTTTTTTTAAAAAAGGGCATGACAAAGAATCAAAGGGCTGGTCTATAAGCCTCCAGTGTTATGTTTCACAACTTAAGATGAAGGGGACTAAAAGTAGTTTCCATGAGATAAATTATTATACTTTTCAGTAGAGTTAGGGGAAAAGAGGTCAGAGGCAATATAGGTATTAAAACACAAGTCTCTCCTGCTTCAATACAATTCTCTTTGTCAGTGGTGGATATGTTAACTCCTGAAACCAGGGTTGCCATTAAAGATCCCAAAGTCTAGTAGTATTCCAAAGCAAGGTAATATGAATATTAACTTGAACCTAAATGCAAAAATTCCAAAGGGATTGATGGATTGGATTATTTATTCCCTGCACCTCATCAAGTTGAAACTGACTGTAAATGTTTTTTGTCTCGTAGTAAGGATAGTCCCATTTCTATTTATCCAATCCAAGCCACTCCATATTTATCCAGTCTCTGATCCCCCTGATTGGGAATGGGGAAACCCCAGAAAAATCTTATCTTGCTACCAGCAAATGTAGGCTATCCCTGTGACTTAGCCAGAGAGACCTACTCACAGGAAAAGATGTAGATTTAAGTTAATAATAAATGGATAATGATTAATGAAAGTGAAAATTGTTGCTGAGGATAGTTCATAAATAGCTGTTACAAAAGGTAAGAGCTTATATAATTGTGGTGCCTTAAGAGACTCTCATAGCAAAATAATGATATTCTCTTAAATTTAACTTTAGATGTCTCTTGGAAAAAAGGACATTGTTTTCCAAAATCTCCACTTCTGAACAACTAAGAAATAAGCAGGATAATAGCCAACCTAATGAATATACACATTCTTCAAAGAGTGGTCTAGGTCCTCAAAACTTATGAACAGATGGAAGCTCAGACCGTAACTCTAGTAACAATACTAATGTGACTCTGTCTTTTGGGTTCCATTTCACAGGACAGGGTTATTATTAAGGACCTAAGTTGGGAAGCAAACTATGGAAATACATATCCAGTTCAATCTGGAGAATACTTATTAATACTAATCTGAATATTAAAAGACCATTAATTGTAGTGTTGAAGAATTAAGGAAAATACTAGGATAGTCTAGAAAGTCCCATCTGTCAAAAATCTTGTGTAAAAATAGCTCTTTGTCTTGTTATTGTGGGTGGAAAGCCATAAGAAGGTGGAGGAACTGAAAGAGTAGGCATGGAACCCACGTTCTGACCTATACCACTTCTCTCAGTATTTATCCTAAAGAATTAAAGTCAGCAGCATACTGTAGCGATACATGTATACTCGTGTTTATAGCAGCACAATTCACAATAGTCAAATTATGGAACCAGTCTAGGTGTCCACAAACAAATGAATTGATTTTTTAAAAATGTGTATACATACACCATGAAGTTTTATTCAGTCATAAAGAAAAGTGAAACTTGAGAACCTCATGT